CCATTAAAAATCCTAAGTGGAGAAAAGCAATGGAAGATGAGATCAATGCACTTGAAAAGAACAATACTTGGACTTTGGAGACACTACCCCCTGGAAAACGAGCCATAGGCTGTAAATGGGTTTACAAGATCAAATACAAAGCAGATGGCACTATCGAGCAGTACAAAGCACGCCTTGTTGCAAAAGGATTCACCCAAGTTGAAGGATTAGACTACCATGATACTTTTGCCCTAGTTGCCAAGCTGGTCACTGTTCGATGCTTACTTGCTGTTGCTGCAATTCGCAATTGGGAGTTACATCAATTGGATGTTCACAATGCCTTCCTTCATGGTGACCTTGATGAAGAAGTTTACATGCATCTACCCCCAGGTTATGGGAATAAAGGAGAGCAGCGCATTTGTCGTTTGAGGAAATCACTTTATGGACTCAAACAAGCATCAAGAAATTGGTTTGCAAAATTCTCTTCTGCTTTAAAAATTTTTGGCTTTAGACAATCTATGAGCGATTATTCACTCTTCACCTATCGGCGTGAGAATAAATTCCTCGCCATACTAGTCTATGTTGACGATTTGATTGTTGCAGGAAATGACTCATTGCTTTGTCAAAAGTTGAAAGATATCCTTCATACAAAATTCCACATCAAAGATCATCCTCGTTCTGACTGTCTAAAGAGCTGCTTTCTTCACCTTCCTCTTCTCTAGGTGCATGAAAATTCCTGTCAGACCTCATTGTGAAAAGATTATTTGTTGATTCCTCTTCTGTGACCTTGAGTGTGAAGAATTCTCCATTGATCTTCACTGTGAAAGACTTGGATATAGATTCTATGGATGGTGTGGTGATTAAGAATCTTGCTGCATCAAATCTTTTCTTGTTGATGGTGCTATCATCTAGAGTTATAAAGGTTCCCCATAATCTTCCAAATGTCTGGAAGGTCTCCAATTTCCAAGCGTACGGTGGGAGTCCCTGGCATCGGATCCAAGCAAACCTCTCCGTTGCTACCAGAGTAGGGGTCCACGGCTTCACTTCTTCAAACCAATTCCCCAGCTAGTCTTTTCCAGTATCAACCAGCTCCTTCAAATCTTCATGATCCTTGCCTTCTAATAACACTAATCTACCACCCATTGGTCTTATGTTGCAGAAGAATACCCCTTCCATGAAGAATTTCTCTTGCAAATTGGGTATTAGGTTTACCGAATGCACTGTGCCTACAAAACACTTTTCCAGCCAAGCATATTCTTCTAGATTGAAGTTCAACTCCATGCCTGACCATTAGTGGTGCTGGTGTTTTGGTTTCCATTCCCTTTGTCGGTTTTCGTAAATGCTGGCCTTGTTGCTTCCATGCCTCTGAACTATTCCTTCTTTCCTTCTTTCGATATTGGGTCTTTCCTCCCTCTTACTGTTGGCTGTTCTTACAACCTCAGCATATGATGGTCTTCTATCATTACCATTAATGCTTTGTTGTCTCCGGTTACCAGCCTCGAAATGGGATCTAGGAATCAATTTTGTTTGACGCTCCCACTTCGAGTATCTTGGTTTGTTTGCTTATAGAACCTAGTTCCCTACCCTTACTTCATTTAATCTTCTTTCTAGTTCACCTTCATTTCTCACATCCAGAAATTGAACAAAACCGAAACGTCTACCCATCCTGTCCCTCTTCGCCGGACAATCTATCTCCAGCACCCTTCCGTGACCTATTCTGTTGAAAGTGAGCCACCTGCTCAAATGACCATTCCTCTGGAAAGTTTGTAAAGAAGAAGGGAATTGCTTGATTGTAAATTCTCTTATCATAACCTCTCACCTCTTGTTGGAATCGTCTCCTATTCTGGAATCTAAACCTCTCATATGGCTGTGCTGTTCGTTTACCTTGTGATCTCCGTCCCAGAGCTCTCTCTCTCTCTCTACCTCTCATCTCTCTGGATATTAATAATTAGAATGTCTCAATGGCTTGATGATGTGAACACGTCTAACTACCAGCTGATGTGAACATAACTTCTGCCAACAGTTAAGTGGTAACCTGAAACGAGGAGGAGCACCGCCACCGCCACCGCCACCGCCAACCAAGAGATCTTCAATATCTTTCATTTTGTTCGGGGAGAAATGAAAGAAGAAGGTCTAGAGCCTGGCGGCCGACCGTTGGGCCGTTGTCAAGTTTTTCTTGCTTTGACCCATGTTCTGTGGAGAATCACGAGTCAGGAACTCGGGACACATTAGGGGCCAAACCAAAAGCTAAAGGCTTAACTCAAATAAGCCCAATGACGC